TCAGGAATTACTCCTCCTCAGGGAACATATGGGATGCCAGAGATCGAACTCAGGTCAGTCACATGCAAGGCAGACACTCTACCCATTGTACTAAAGCTCCGGCCCCAACTTTTTATTTCTAAGAGGAATCAGCAGTACTTTAGTGCCATGCAGTGTCAGGGATTGAACAGGGCCTTGCACAGGCTAGGTATGTGCTCAACCACTTTAACCATCTCCCTAGAAAAACAAAATTTGGAGAAATTGTACAGTGGGAAAGGCATTTACTTTGCACATGGCCCACCAGGGTTCAACCCCTGGCATCACATAATCCAAGCACTGCCAGGAGTGATCCCTGAGCACAAAAATTAAGCCCTGAACACCACTGGTGTGACCAAAAAATATATACAACCTTTTAGAATGACTGATCATCATGTTTTATTAACATACACATATATTAATAATAGGATCCAGATATTCAACATCAATGCACCATCCAGTCTTCTTCCTCTGCACATGAAACAACCTATCAAAAACTGAGATTTCAAAACCTAGCTATTTAAGACATTCAGTTACGCATGTAAGTCACTCAGGTATGGAAGCGCTTTCAAGATTATTATGCTTGTTTTTCATGGCACTGACTGATAATTCATTAGCTGAGCTATGTTTCACATCACATTCCCTGATGCAAAGTACACAAGTTTATGGTGTCATCAACTGCATATCTCAGACACTTATTTCTCATGCCATTACCAGTGTACAGCAACTTCATTATAGGATTGATTCTTTCCCTGATATTCAAACAAAAATCCTTCTAGTAAGTTCCATCAGTATAGTACAGACACTTTAGCAGAGAAAACAGAGATAAAATAAATCATCTTACTCTACATCATCCATGTTTTAGAATCCTAAAAGTATTTAAGAATCATAAAGAGATTCATCCAAGAGGTTTTTTGGTTTCTGTCTTTTGTCTGCTCATTTCCTTTTCAGTTTCATACTCTGTGACATTCAGGGGAATACTCCTGGATCAGTGACTGGGACTCATTCCTAGCAGTGTTCAGGGTACCATGTGGTGCTAGGGATCAAACTGGGCTTCCACTTGCAAAGTGATAGATCGTTCTTTGAGTTATTTCCCTGGCACCAAGAACTCCATTTTTATTAATGAGTAAAGTATAATATGGCAGATTTTTTCCTTTTAATTTAAACGCAGAAAAGAGGAAGAATGTTAAAATATGGTATCCTATCTGCTGAATTATTTCTTTGGCCCCAGAAACAGAAAAATCCTACCAATCTTTCATGGGAAAAGATAATCAACTCAACCCCAAGATAACATAAATGGTGGAATCCTCAAAAGGTCTCAAAGCAGCAATGTACTACTACAGATACCCAAGCTTCTTTTGTTTACCATGTACATTTTGGGAAAAAAAAAGTTACTCAACCTGGAAATCTACCTTCTTCACACACACACACACACACACACACACACACACACACACACCAGAAACAAGTCAGCTGCACCTGATGCAACTATGGCCTTTATCAGCACCAGTACCTTACTATTAGGTGACAATAAATAGACGTCAGCTGAACAATGTCCTCAGCAGATAAACTGAATGTAAAAAGAAATGGAAGTGAAATTTTCAGAAATCAAAAAATAATAATTTGAAATAGAAAGTTCACTGGGTGTATTCAATAGCACAATGGAGATGACAAAAATTAACGAAGACAACAGGAAACAATCAGTGAACTTGGCTACAAGGGCAGGGATGGACAGGACTGACAGAGGTAGAGGTAACACAGTTCACATCATCTCACAGACTAATAATCTGACCTCTTAAGGAAAAAGTCTGCTGTAGTCTAAACAAACCAGAATGTCAAATAAAGTTTTATTTTGAGGGGAGGACATGGGGCCACACCTGGTGGAGCTTAGCAGGTGCGTGGGAGTGGGGGGGCGGGGATGGGACACACACAACACCATGCAATTTTCATGATCAAACCCAGGTATTCTGCATGTAAAATTTGTGCTCAGCCCATTGAGCCCTCTCTCCAGCCCAGATTAGATTTTTAAAAAACACAATCCAACTATATCCTATTTATGAGAAATTCATTTCAAATATAATGAATGACACAGCTGGATTAAATGGATGAAAACAATGAATACAATTTTCTTCAAAAGAAAATTGAAGTAAAAAAATACTAATACAGCAGGTAAAATATAGTAAAGAAATATTAAGAGTAAAGAGGGACATTACATAGTGATGAAAAAGAATTCATTCACCAATAAATAAAACCAATGCTACATATAAAGTCACTAATCAAAGAACTTCAATATGCATAAAACAAAAACTGATAGAACTAAAGAGGGAAATAAGATAAACTGAGAATTCAGTATTCCCATTTCAGCAGTCAACAGAACATAAAAGTAGCTAGAATAAGCGCCAGAGCAATAGTACAGAGGGTAAGGCATTTGCCTTGCATGTGGCCAACTTGGGTTCAATCCCTGGCACACCATATGGTCCCCCAAGCCCTGCCAGGAGTGATCCCTTAGTGCAGAACCAGGAATAAGTCCTGGGCACTGTCAGATTCAACCCCAAAACAAACAAACAAACAAACAAACAAACCGAACAAAAAAAGTAACCAGAAAACAGATGATCAGTACTACTGAGCAGCAAAATTTAACTATATCTATAAAACACTAAATCAAATAACAAGTAGTACAAAGGAAACATATATCTTTTCCCCTGATAGAACGTGATCAAAAAAAGAATGGGGGGGCTGGAGTGACAGCACAGCAGGCAGGGCGTTTGCCTTGCATGCGGCCGGCCCGGGTTCAATTCCCAGCATCCCATATGGTCCCCCGAGCACTGCCAGGAGTAATTTCTGAGTGTATGAGCCAGGAGTAATCCCTGTGCACCGCCAGGTGTGACCCCAAAAAAAGCAAAAAAAAAAAAAAAAAGAATGGAGGGGCCAGAAAGAGAACAGCAGGCAGGGAGCTTGCTGCTCACACATGGTTGATGCAGGTTTGATGCCGGGTTATCCCATCTGTTCCCCTTAGCACTTCCAGGAGAGATCCCTGAGTACAGTGCCCCTAAGCCCTGCACATGGCTAAGTGTGGCCCTAAAACACTGCACTGTAACACTGTCCTCCCATTGTTCATCGATTTGCTCAAGCAGGCACCAGTAACGTCTCCATTGTGAGACTTATTGTTACTGTGTTTGGCATATTGAATATGTCACGGGTAGCTTGCCAGGCTTTGCCCTGCGGGTGAGATACTCTCGATAGTTCATCGAAAGGGGCAGAGGAATCGAACCTGGGTCGGCAGGGCAGGCTGCCACTATGCTATCGCTACCACTATGCTATCCCTAGCACTATGCTATCGCTCCAGCCCAGCCCTAAAACAAACACACAAAAAATGAAGACCTGTGGTAGGGTTTCCTCCCCCACCCAAAGCTGATCACTCCTCATTCTTTCTACTATTTTACACTAAAACCCCTAAAATCCTCAAATGCAACATCAACCACCATTCTAACACACAGAACCAGACCCAAATTTACATGCCAGGCATAAGAGTATAACCACTCTACCAAGCTCTGAGAAATATTTACTTATCTAGTAAGAAATCTGGAATGTGCCGACCATACCATTCTTGAAATCTAGTAAACGCGTATTTTTAGGACTCAGTTCACCAACTGAACTAGACGTGGTTTCAGTCCTTCACAAGCATCAGAGAAGTTTCATGACAAGCTTTCCAGAGGTATAAAGGGCCAAGTGACTAAGCAGGTGAGTAAACCAAGTGACCACCCGCATTTACCCTCACAAAGTTCCGCTTTTCTGTAGCTGCTATTGAAAAGGCCAGGAGAGGCTACTTTAATTTTTAGCCATTTTTCCCTCCACCTAGAGTTCTATCAATTATCTACAGGTTTAATATAAAAAATCCTTGAATCCACAAAGTTGTGGCATTCAATGGGATACGATGTAGCCCTAAGAAAGGTTAAAATCATGCAATCTACTGATACATGGGTAAGGCTAGAGGATAAGAGCACTGAGTGAAATCAGAAGAAAAGGGATAGATTAGAATAATCTCTTTCATATGCAGGTCAGATTTAGGTAACAAACAAGGGCCAAAAGGCAACAGAACAGAAGAGTTGGTTCACAGAACTGAGTTTGGGGAAGGAAGGGTGGATTGAAAGGGTGGAGCACTGCTGGCCTTGGGGGAAGAGGGTTGGTACTCTGGTGATGGGTGTGGCCTTAGAATGATATACATAAAACCATCCTTAATGGTACTGTAAATCACAATACCTCAAATCAATAGTTTTTAAAAAATTAAACAGCAAAAAAGAATCTACCTATTTAATTTTTGAAGTAAACAACACTAAAAATGTAATCATGGGGCTGGAGAGATAGTTTGCCTGGCTGACCCAGGTTCAATTCCTGGCATCCCCTATTGTCCCCTGATCACCACCAGGAGTGATCACTGAATGCAGAGCCAAAAGCACCAGGTGTGGCCCAAATACAAACAAACAAAAAATAATACAATCACAATCATGCAGTGTAATGGGAAGTTCAGAATGTTTTTACGTAGATCTGACAAGAGGACTTTAATAATGAGATGACTTTATGCATTATTGCAAATAAATCTTATCATAAATTAGGAAATTTGATTTACAAATTGCTATAGATGTTCAATGTCAAAAGAAATGTTTTTAAGAACCCTTTTTAAGATAGAATTCTACACCAAACACAAATCATAGTTTTTTTTTCCCCCCTGCTTTTTGGGTCACACCTGGCAATGCACAGGGGTTACTCCTGGCTCTGTACTCAGGAATTACTCCTGGCGGTGCTCAGGGGACCATATGGCATGCTGGGAATCAAACCCTGGCTGGCCGCGTGCAAGGCAAACACCCTACCAGCTGTGCTATAGCTCCAGCCCCCATAGTTGTTAAAAAATTAAAAAAATTACTGAACTTCCCCTTTCCACACTTTACTTGTCATCAACACTCTCAAAGAAGGTCCCCCTCTCTCACCCTCAAGAATATCTTCATAAAGTGCGTGTACTCCCTCAGGCACGATGACCGCCAGTGCAGTTCCACAGAGAAGGCCAGCACCCAAAACAGTCACCAGTTTTAGCCGCTCCTGGAAAGAAAACATAAGGAACTGTTGAAAAGATTGATGACTGAATGGGGAAGTTTCTGAAGCATCTGTAATCACAAATGAGCTGCTCCTTTGTGAAACCAGACTCTACAATGCTCAGTGAACTAAAAAATGGGTTAGCTTCCTAATGCCAATTAAAACAGATGATGCCATTTTTTTTTTCAACTTAGCAGATTGGCAAGGAGGTGGGAAAACATGATGGGGAAAACTGGGCACACTTGTCTAACCTGCAAATAATGTGAGTTGCTAAGGTCAGAGAGTACTGGATTAAGTAACTAGGTTAACTGTCTTGCATGCAGCAGATCCCAATTTGTGCCCTGGCACCACATGGTCCCCAGAGGACTACCAGGAGTGGTCTCTGAGCACTGCATCAAGAGTAAACCCTGAGCACAAACAGATGTGAATCCCAACCCATCACCCAATTAATTTTTTAAATTGCACTTAAAAAAAGAGGAATGTGAATTTTTATATTCTACCTGGAGAACAATTTGGCAACTTAGATTTATAGCCTTGAAAAATTTTGGGGTCAGGTAATTTCACTTATATAAGACCACTGCACTTATCTTTTTTTTTCTTTTTTTTTGGCTTTTTGGGTCACACTTGGCGACGCTCAGGGCTAAGTCCTGGCTCTGCACTCAAGAATCACTCCTGGCGGTGCTCAGAGGACCATATGGGATGCTGGGAATCGAACCCAGGTCAGCCGCGTGCAAGGCAAATGCCCTACCTGCTGTACTATTGCCCCAGCCCCAACCACTGCCCTTATTGAAAGCAAATTTCAAAATAAATGAAGATCTGTAAATAAAATGTAATATCACAACAGAGAGTCATTAAAAAGTGCGATACAGCTCCATTCTCGGATATAGAATGTTATGATGTGAGAGATACTCCCAGACCCTGCACCAGGCTGAGTAAGCCCAGGGCACCTGGAGGGGGGCAGGAGAGCTCACCACCTGCCCAAATATAGCCCTGACAGCCGAAAACCTCCACATTTCAATTACCACCAAGCTCACAGTCAGGACAGCCTCATCCAGAAATGAATCTGCTGAAAAACTCAGGTATGAGGATTTTGTAACTGAAATCTCCAGACTCTCGAGGCGTCGAGGATGGGCTACTTCCTCTATTCACCCTGTTCCTCCCAAAGCCTGGCAGTCACACCCATGAACTGCCTCTGGTGCCAAATAAGCTCAGTAACTGGCCCTGATCCAGAGACTCATAAGAACCTCAAAAGAGACCAACAAGTTGCAGAGATGATTCCACGCCAGGTTAAGTGGTTGGGACACTCAATGTCACAATCCAGCTAAAATTTAACTCCAGCTGTATTACCCCATTCAAAAAAATTGAATTCCTAGAGTGTGCAGCTGTGCTGCAACGACATCTCAAACTCTACAATTTTTTTAATCACTTTTAGCGATTTATAATAAACAATAAAAAATAAACTATTCAGGGCTTGTACAGGGGAGACTTGAAGGGTGGTTGGGAAAACTGGACATAATGGTGGAGGGAAGGTGCAATGGTGATGAGATTGGTGTTGGAATATCAAATGTAACAAATCATCATAAGCAACTTTTTAAAAAATAAAAGAATGGTATGATGTATTGCTATGAGGAAAAAACTGGGAGTGAATAAAATGTATTGATTGATAAGCTCACATTTGTTTTGGTTCTTTTGGTTTTGGGATCACACCCAGTGGAGGCTCAGGGACCAATCAGATGCTGGGGATTGAACCTAGGTACATAGCCTCGTGCAAGGCAAAAATCATACCTACTAACATTCCAGCCTTCATATTTGCTTTTCAAAGAATATACTTAAGTGGAACAAATGTACCACTGTCACTGTCCTCCCGTTGTTCATCAATTTGCTTGAGTGGGCACCAGTAACATCTCCATTGTGAGACTTGTAGTTACTGTTTTTGGCATATGGAATACGTCATGGGGAGCTTGCCAGGTTCTGCCGTGTGGGTAGGATACTCTTGGTAGCTTGCCGGGCTCTCTGAGATGGACAGAAGAATCGAAACCAGGTCGGCCACGCGCAAGGCAAATGTACATGAACATATTTCTCACTCTGTAATTTCTAAGTATAGCAAATTCATAACAGAATTGTAAAATGTTTATAATTTATCTGCAATAAACATGTACTGCTCATACAAATTTAAAGTTTCAATAAATGTCCTGTGGTGGGGTCGGAGCAATAGTACAGTGGGTAGGGCATTTGCCTTACACACGGTCAACCCAGGTTTGATCTCCAGCATCCCAGACACCTGAGCAACACCAGGATTAATTCTTAAGTGCAGAGCCAGGAGTAACCCCTGAGCACTGCCAGGTGTGACCCAAAAATTAAAAAAAAAAAGCCCTACAGTTTGTTTTTAGGCCACCCCCTGTGGTACTCTAGGGCTATTCCTGGCTCTGAGCTGGTGGGTCATGCCCAGCTTCCTGCATGCAAAGCATGAGCTCAACTGGTAAAACTATCTCTAGCCCTTCATTTGTTTTTATAACTGCTCTGTTTTGTCTTGTTTTGGGACCACAACTGGCAGGTTACTCTGGTTCAATGCTCAGGGAACAACAAAGCAGTGCCAAGGATCAAACCTGGGTCTCCAGCATGCAAAGTTGCACTCCATCCTGTTGATCTATCTACCCAGTGCTCTTAACTAATTTTTCTGTGAAAAGACTGACACACCAAAAGTTACAGATAGTTCATGTATGCAAGTCAATATATCTGGAGGTAAGTATCCATCTGTGACACCATTATCATACTCAATAATAACTGTTCTATGGTTTTAATTTAATGTAATCCCATCTTTCTTTTTATTCAGATTCCTGTGAGAAAGAGCCTCCTAACATACACCATATAAAAGATTATACTTCAAAATTTCTTAAAGTAGCTTGTACTCTACATGGCTTCCTGGAATCTTCAGAGTATGTAAAAGGATCTTAAAAATGAAAAGGGGGTAGTTATGTCTGTTGCTCACAAAAAAGTTTCAAGATTTTAATGGCTAATCATGTACTATGTTTCCTATGGGAAGTTAGCAAAAAATAATAGTGGTTGAAGCAGACCTGATATAATCCTGAATGATGCTGAACTACATGAACACACACACAGATGCATACATACAGCACACAGATTCTTAGTCGAAAGGCTAGGTCAAACAATAACAGGCCCTCCTTATAACTACAGTTGCAATGTCCGCATTAACTAATATTTGCCATAGAATGAGAGTAGAATGCTGTCATTCTTAGTATATCGACCAACTCAATACATTCATGACAGCCTTAAGTTGCTTAAAAACAATGATCTGGGGTTGCTTTTATTCCCTCCCCACCCCCAGGGGTAGGTGGGTGGTTGTGTCAAACCTGGCAGAGCTCAGGGTTTACTCCTGACTCTGTGCTCGGGAGTCAATTCTGGTAGTTCTCAAGGAATCATTATGCAGAGGCAGGGATCAAACCAGGCTCAGGTGCACGCAAGGCAAGTGCTTTAACCCTGCAGGATCTTTATGGCCTCTACAACCCATATATCCTGAATACAGCAAAGGACTGGATGCTGGCATTCAAGCCCAATACATCAAGATCCTCCGTGAGCTGTATTGCGGATTCACTACCAGGATCTCACCATTCTACAAAGAAGTGATCGTTGATATCAAGAGAGGGGTGCGGCAGGGTGATACCATTTCACCGAAACTCTTCAGTGCCACCCTCGAGAACATCATGCGATGACTGGAATGGGAAGGAATGGGAGTGAAGATAGATGGTCGGCAACTACACCACTTCCGCTTTGCTGATGACATTGTTTTAATAACACCAAACATCAGCCAAGCGGCACAAATGCTGGTCGACTTTGACCATGAGTGTGGAAAGGTAGGACTACAGCTGAATCTTACGAAGACAATGTTTATGAGAAACAGCCTCGTTCCTGATGCCCCATTCGCTCTCAACGGAACGACCATCTCCGAATGCAACAGCTATGTGTACTTAGGTCGAGAAGTCAACATGACAAATGACCTGGCACCCAAGCTGCGCAGGAGGAAGAGAGCGGCTTGGAACGCCTTCAAGAACGTCGAAGAAATAGCTAAGAGGACGAAGAACCTCCGGCTCCGGGCACATCTCTTTGATTCCACTGTTCTTCCTGCATTAACATATGCCTCAGAGACCTGGGCACTATGCAAACAGGATGAGAACGCTATTCAGGTCTCCCAAAGAAGAATAGAAAGAGCTATGCTCAGAATATCACGTTTCACTCAAATGAGAGAAAAAATCCGGAGTTCCGACATCTGTCGACAATCAAGAATCAGGGACGCTGTCTCATTTGCCAAGGTGTCAAAAATCAGATGCGCTGGTCACGTAATGAGATTTAAAGACGACCGCTGGACTAGAGCTGTTACTGACTGGATTCCACGGGATGTCAAAAGACCGCGTGGCTGCCCACCTATCAGATGGTCAGACTTCTTCGTCAAGATCATGAACGATCGGTTTGAGGCCCTTCATGTTCCCGGAGCGAACAGATGCCATTGGGCTACACTAGCACGCGACAGGGACAAATGGAGACGTTACTGGCACCCGCTTGAGCAAATCGACGACTAACGGGAAGTTAAGTGATTAAGTGATTAAGTGATGGTCCCCAGTGTCCCACCAGGAGCCACCTCTGAGTACAAAGAAAGACGTAAGCCCTGATCACAACTAGGCATGACCCCCAAACCAAAAAACAAAACAAGATAAAAAAAAAAACACACCAAACAACCCCCCACCCCCCGCAAAAAAAAAACCCTCAGACCTGAATTTTTCTTGTGCAAAGAGTATTTCAACATGTCTTATGAAGACAGGTGAAAGTATGGGAAGCAATCTGGAAATGACACAAGTGATTGCTGATACTGTCTGTTTGAGGGCAACACCAGCTAGTGCTCTGGTGTTATTACTCTTAGCTAGAGCTTGCTCCTGATGGTACTAAGGAAACCACGTGGTGCTGGGCTAACAGAACCAGAGGCAATTGCATGC